TTACACAAGCTGCATGATGCTACTTGGAGGCCCCGGCTGGGTGAAGGACTTGCTGCATCATCAAGACTAAGTAAATGACGGCTGGGCACGCGGTGGCTCGACGCCTGTAATCCTAGCCCTCTGGGAGGGCTGAGGCGCGGACGGATCGTTTGAGCTCAGGAGTTCCCGCTCGCCAGCTGAGCAAGGCGAGGACCTCGTCTCTACCAATAATAGAAAAAACTCGGGCATAGGTGGCGCATTGCCTGTGTCCCAGCTACTCGGGAGGCTGAGGCAGGGAGGATCGCTTGAGCCCAGGAGTTTGAGGTTGCTGTGAGCTAGGCTGACGCCACAGCACTCACTCTAGCCTGGGCAACAGAGTGAGACTCTGTCTCAAAAAAAAAAAAAAAAATTAGTAAACGGGCCAAGCCCTCAACTGGAAGATTCCAGAGAAGGACCTCTGGATGTGAGAACCAGTGGCTCCACTGATATTGCCAGCACTGCACTCTGTTTTCCACGGCACTCGCTTACTTCCAAGCCTGTGGGTGGTGGTAACACGGTCCCCATTTCACAGAAAAGGAACCTAAGGCACAGAGATGTGCAGTAACCCGCCCAGGGCCACACAGCTGGAAAGGTTGGAGCCAGGCTCGGCTCCCGGCAGGCTGGCTCCAGCGTTCCCCCCTCGGCCAGGTGGCCTTGCATTGGCTCGTGATCCTCACATTGACCTCTCTGACTTAGAGGTGGGCCTCGCTGTTCTCATTTCAACGATGAGAAGGAGGTTCAGGGCGCCCGGGGTGGCGCTTCCCACGGCCCCAGGAGCGCAGGTGCGTCCTGTTGGCTGGCCTTTCTCCCGTGACGCCGGCACAGAGCCGGTCGTCATCCAGCCCCTGCGCAGTGCTTGGCAGCTCATAAAGCTTGTTGTCATCTGGGCCTGTCTGAGCCCCAGGCGGCCTTGGGCGCCCCCGCGGCGGTCTTGCCGTCCGTTGCACCGATGGGAACTTGCGGCTCCGAAGGCTTCATGGGCTGTTGGAGGCCTGAGCTGGGGTGTGACGGGTCCAGGCTCCCCCTGGGCCTGTTGCTCACCTTTCCTCCCCGGGCCACACCGCGAAGGGCCACGTGGAGGTGCAGGTGACCCAGGCACGGAGGGGAGGCCGACCTGGGGTGGCAACTGGGATTTCACACCAGCCACTGTAACCCTCAGACGGTGGCTGCACTGGCGTCCTGCCACGTGCTCTGAGTGCCATGGTTTCCGAAGGCAGGCAGCCAGACACAGGTCTGCAGACCTCTGTCACCTGCCACGAGGGAGGGGCCGTCCTGTGTTTGCTCCCTCTGGAAAGCAGGGTCCTCAGGGCCTCGTGCCCGTTACCTGAGGGAAGGCCCAGGGGCGCTCTCAGCCCTGGCTGCCTTGAAAACCACGGGGACCGGGATGCGAGGAGACCGTGCTGCTCACGGACCCTCCGGCTGCCAGGCCCAGCCTCGATCCTGGCACAGCGTCATGGGGCGATGTGCTGCCATGGACACCCCAAGGAGTGTCCCCTCCTCATGTCACTGTTCACAATACACGGCTTCCGGCAGTTCGCTGGAGCACACATGCACACGGGAGCAAACCTAGCAGCCCTCCGAGCGTCACGGGCGTTTGTGGGTGTGAGTGTTGTTGGGTCCCAGAACCCTCCTTCTGACCTAAGTCTTAACACGTTACTTGTTTACAGAGTTGAAATTTAAAATAACACATGCCCTTTGACACCTCAGAGACACAGGTAACACGGAGAGTAGAATTCCCCAGTGCCCCCGTCCTTCCCGGGGCCGGCTGGCAGGGGCGTGTGCAGGCGTCCCAGCCACGATGGAGTGGCGTGCCGTCCGCCCCGCCGCTCCCTGGCCAGCCTCCAGGCCCTGACGCCTGTCCCTCCCGTCTCTGCCCCCTGCAGCTCCCACCTCCTTCTTGCTGTTCAGCCAGAAATGCGCCATCAGCCGGATGATCCCAGACGACCAGCACAGCCCGGACCTCATCCTGCCCCTGCACGGGCTGCGGAATGTCAAGGCCATCGACTACGACCCCCTGGACAAGTTCATCTACTGGGTGGACGGGCGCCAGAACATCAAGCGCGCCCGGGACGACGGGACCCAGGCAAGTGGGCCGCTGGGGGGCGTGGGGACGCTTCCGCGCGGAGCTCCCTGGCGGTTCCCAGGCTGCTGCCCCCTTTTCTTGGCAGAGGGGCCGGCAGAGCAGGCCTAGGTAAACGGCGATTTGGGCTTCGATTGCGGAATCGCAGGGTATAACCCCGAGTGGGGGGAAACCTTAGACGGCCTGATTTCCCAGCTGTGTCAGTGGTCGTGGTTGGGGTCAAAACCCACAGGATTTTTTCCTCCCAGGGCAGTTTTGTGTTTTGCAGGGGCAGTTGGTATTGGTGACTCCGGATTTGTCTTCTATTTCCTAGGAATTGCACAGTCATTTCTGCTACAGTGCAGAGCATGCACCGTGCCGTGCCGAATCGCGTGGTAGAAACACAATTTATGGGAAGGGGGGCCGGGGTACGACGTCCAAAACCCCACCAGTGACACACAACAAAAGAGATAAGCTGGCAAATGCCAGATGAATACATGTATTTGCACATGCTAAGTACACGTATCCTAGATGTGTGCATGCAAACACTATAATAAACACGGTGCTTTTCCTTGAACAGACCCGCAGTGGGCCGTGGGCGTGAGCTCTGGGAGGGTCGCGGCGCCTGGGAAATGGGGGAAGGAGGATTGTGTGGGGTCGGATGGAAAGTTCTAACCCCAGGCATGGGTGGCTCGTAGCCCCCGCGGTGACCCGGGGAGGTGGGTGGAAGGCGGAGGTGAGTGTGTTGTGTGTCTGTACTGGGCTCTGTGCCTGGCGTGGCTTTTTCTGCGCTCACCTGTTTCTCCCAGGTGAAGTTATGCGGAAGCAAACGGGAAATCTGTGCCACGTTCCAGTTGTCCCCTGATACATGACTGCAGGGAAACAAATCTGCGTTTTCAAAATGAGTGTTGTGGCAGAACTGACGGCCGTACTCGTGCGACCTGCCCCAGGCAGGTGTCTGCTCCCTGTGGCCGCGGCCCACCTGGCACCTCCTCCTAGCAGTGGGCAGCAGGGGCACAGCGCGGTCCTCGTGTGGGATCCGAGGACGTGCCTGGCTGGTGCGCGGTGCCGTCTTCTGTAGACTCGTTCCCGGAAGCTGCCGGAGCGAGCGGCCGCTCTCTCCACCGAGGGGCCAGCGCAGGAGCTTAGGTTTGTTGTCTTGGTGAAATCTCGGTATGTGTCTGACAGCGAGGCAGAGAAACGCTCGTCTGTAGGGACTTGCAGAAGATTCTCGGTGTCCACAAAGCCGATTTTGCTGTCCTGCCCGTGAGCGGGACACCCCTTTCCACCAGAGCCTTCATCCGGCCACGGTTGTGAGTTAAGTCACAGTGTGAGCTCCGTGTCCTCGGTTGATGGCAAAAGCCAATCAAATCGAAGTCCCCAGCCGTGCCCGGACAGCTGTGACAGTCGTCTCTGGGGGAGCAGAGTCATGGAGGAAATGGGTTCCTTTCATCCCACTGGGCGCAGGTGGCAGTGGCAGGGAAGCCTTCGGAGCAGGGAGGTGTTAATTGAGGATGGCGGCTCCCTGCAGAGAGAGCGCCGGGTGCTAATTGCCTTAGAGTCTCATCGGAGAGGGTCCCTTTATGGCATCCAGGCAGAAGTGGGTAAAGACTTTGAAGAAAACCCTCCTAGGGAACAGCTTCTGGGGTTCGGCTTATTTAGGAAACTGCCTTCCCGTCTTGTCTCTTGCTGGCCCCACTCCTGCAGGGCTTGGCTTTAATTCTTTATTATGGCTGCCCCCCACCCCCTCCCTGGAGATGATGTTTAAATCATGATCCAGTTGGCTGAGGTTTTCTTTTCTATTTGTTACTTTCTTATTGCGGCAGACATATAAAACATAAAGTTTACCATTTTCACTGTTAAATGCATTACAGTATTAACACACGGGTTGGTGGCACTAAGTGCATTTATGTAGCTGTGCAGCTGTCTCCACCCTCCACGTCCAGAAAGGTCCGTCTTCCCAGACGGAGGCTCCGTGCCTGCTGAGCACTAACTGCCATCCCTCTGACCCGCCACTCCGCTTTCTGTCTGCGAATGTGGCTGCCCCGGGATCGGACGGTGTCTGTCCGTTTGTGTCTGGCTTGATTTACTCAGCGTGCTGTCCTCGGGGCTGGTCCCTGCGGTAGTGCGCATCAGACCTTCCTTCCCTCGCGTGGACGGGCCACGTTTCGGCAGTGGACGCTGCGTTGCATCTACCCTGCGGCTGCCCTGAATACCGCCGCCAGGGACGGTTCTGCGGGCTGAGACTTCGCGCTGGGGCGGAAAGCGGGTATTGATTGTGGTGTTGAACAGGATTCTGTTAAGAAGTTCTGCGCTGACGTAAGTGTTATTACTTATGTTAAAATTGGAGCACAGGTTTTTTTGTTGTTGTTATTTTTTTTTAAGACAGAGTCTCACTCTGTCACCCGGGCTAGAGTGCCATGGCGTCAGCCCAGCTCACGGCAACCTCAAACTCCTGGGCTCTCAAGCGATCCTCCTGCCTCAGCCTCCCGAGTAGCTGGGACTACAGGCATGCGCCACCATGCCCGGCTAATTTTTTCTATGTATTTTTAGTTGTCCAATTAATTTGTTTCTATGTTTAGTAGAGACGGGGGTCTTGCTCTTGCTCAGGCTGGTTTCGAACTCCTGACCTTGAGTGATCCTCCCGCCTCGGCCTCCCAGCGTGCTAGGATTACAGGTTCACGTGAGCCACTGTGCCTGGCTGGAGCTCAGGTTTTGTGAGACTGGTCATCTGTGTGGAGCTTGGTGTGTGGCTTTGTCAAGCCTGGTTTTGCGTCCGGCTCCCGCAGACCCCTGCAGTCGGCCCGACTTGGCCCAGGGTCAGCCGGACTCTTGCTCCTCTTCTGACCTCTGGGCTGCACCAGGCTGGCGTCCCCAGCCAGGGCGCTCTGTGGCTTTGGGGAAGGAGTGTGTTCAGTTGGAGGTGACGCATGGCCCCCCCGGGGTCCGCAGCTCTGTGGGATGTGGATGTCGTTACCTGCAAAGACACGTAGACACGTGACCCTTCATGGTGATGCTTCTGGTCCTGATGAAAGTGATGCCCTTGCGGCCGCCCCGCTGCTGTGCGTGTGTGGGGGAGGGGCTGGGTCCAGGAGGCTGGGCCTGGGGAAGGGGCTACTCCTTGGCTGCAGGCCCCCTCCTGCCCGCCTGGAGACTTCTTGTTTTCCTAACTGCTGAAAGAGGCAGATAAAGAAAGCCAAAAATGACCAGTGATCAGAGCGTCACCCTAAGATAATTCCCTCTGCGTCTGGAAGGGAACAGAGCAGAGGTGTTGGCCCCCTTCCCTGCGTAGGGGAAGGGGCGTTTCATCCACACTGTGGGTGGCAGCAGCCCGGGTGTTCCTTTGCACCAGGCAAGGCCCCCTGAGAACCAGAGCACAGCTGTCTTTTGGTGTCGCCCAAGGGACCAGGTCCACCAGGGCACCAGGGTCTGGAGGGGGGAGTGAACGTGAGACTCTGGGCTCAGCCCTCCTTCCACCTACAAAGACACGTGTAGGGGATTCTCTGTCTCTCCAAAAACCACGGCTCATCCCTGAGTCACAGCAGACGGCGTGGGGTCAGTGGCGTTCGGGAGGACCTCCTCGGCAGAGACCCCCGGAAGTGCAGACAGGGAGAGCCGGCTTTGGGTCTGAGAGGCGCGGCTGGCCCTGCGGGTCACCCCTGTGCCCTCCCTGCCCCTGCGCTGCACGCCTGGCCCGCACCCCTGCCCGTTTCCCTTGGGAAGGCGGTGGTGACAGGTGCCCCCCGGTCCCCACGTCCACTGCGCTGATACTCTACGCGGAGAAAACAAGATTGGAGGGTCTTAAGTGAAAAGCATGAGTCCTAGAAAATGGAAAAGGAGGAGGGAGGATGCCTTGAGAAGGAGCTGTGTGGTCCTGGCAGCTGCTCAGCGGTCGGTGGGCGTCTGTGAGCAGGGACAGCACCAGTCTGGTGGGCACACCAGGCCCCTCTGGCGGGGTCGCTGACGGGGCCGACATCTGACAGAATGACAGACGTATTCCCGCGGCTGGTGCCCGCATCCCTCTGCACTCCTAGACGGGCACGTGGCTAAGACGGATTGGACAGGAAAGGTTAAAGGTCCCCACCAGTGTTAGAATTTTGACTTCCAGGATAAACTCAGGACCTGTGGGCTCCGCCCTCCCCGGGCTGTCCCCTCCGCGGGGGCATGAGCGTCCCTGACGTGTGCGCTTTGCTTCTTTGCTTACAGCCGTTCGTCTTGGCCTCGCCAAGCCAGGGCCAGAACCCAGACCGGCAGCCGCACGACCTCAGCGTTGACATCTACAGCCGCACGCTCTTCTGGACGTGCGAGGCCACCAACACCATCAACGTCCACCGGCTGAGTGGGGACGCCATGGGGGTGGTGCTCCGTGGGGACCGTGACAAACCAAGGGCCATCGTCGTCAACGCAGAACGAGGGTAGGAGGCCGGCAGGGTGGGCGGGGGTGGGGGTGCTGTGGGGGTGGGGCCTGGGTGCTGCTCCCCAGGCGTGCCCGGCCAACTGTGGCGGAGGAGGGGGGCCTTTTCCAGAGCCCCGGCCTGCGCAGTCAGAGCAGGAGCACGGAAACGCCCCACCCCCTTCCGGCACTCGGGGAGGGGGCTTTGAAGTCTCTCTGTGGGAGAGACTTTGGTGGGAGCTCGGCACCGGGCAGGTGTGCGTTGGGCTCGGTGGGCTTGGTGCCATCCCCGTCAGACTTGGACCCTGTGCAGGAGCCCCATCCCACCTCGACATTCCAGGCGGTGGCGGTTTGTTCCCTCACGCATGTTCCGCTGCGGGGAGCTCTGGGGGCTTCTGCCTCCCCAAAGGCCCCGACACTGCCACTGCTGGTCCTCAGCGTTCCTGGTCGGTGGGAGAGCACCCAGGGCATGTTGGTAGACTTGGGAGTCCCCAGAGGGAGTCGCCAGGGCGGGAGGGGACCTAAAGCCACACAACATGAAGCTCAGGGGCAAACTGAGCATGGGAAGGTTGGGGACAAGAGCAGGTGATCCTCTGCTGGTCCCTGTGGGGCTGAAAGACGGGCGCTACGGCCAGCCCGGGGCCCGGGCCGGGTGGGAGCCCTGAGTTTGCATCCTGACCCCGTCACTGACTGCGTGTGACCTGGGGCAGGCAGCGTCACCTCTCGGAGACTCAGTTTCCTGGTCTGTAAAAGTGAAGACGACAGTAGTGAGGGGTGTGCGGCGCACAAGGGCGCTGTGAGCGGAGGCCCCTGTCATTTGAGGCGCTGTCCAGGTGCCGGTGCGCTGGCCCCCGGGATGCCCGGGCTCTGTAGCAGCCGGGGACGTTAGTTTCCAGTGGTGGCTGTCACAAATTCCCACAGACCAAGTGTCTTAGAATAACAGACATTTGTTCCCTCATAGTCCCAAAGGCCAGAAGTCTGAATCAGGGTGTTGGCAGGGCCACCGTCCCTCGGAATGTTCTGGGGGGGAATCTTCCAGCGTCTGGTGGCTGCAGGCGTCGTTTAACCTGTGGCATCGCTCCCGTCTCCGCGGCTCACTGCACGGTGGCATGTTCTATTTTCATAGCGCTGGGATGGGATTTAGACCTAACCCAGTGTGTTCTCAGCTTGATCCCTAATTGCATTTGCAAAGACCCTGTTTCCAAACAAGCTTACGTTCTGAGGCTCTGGGTGGACAGGAGCTTTTGGGGGACGCTGTTGAACCCAGGGCAGGACGTGACCTGTCAGCCTTGGGCTGGCTGCCAGAGGCCGGGGCCTTCTAATCTGAAACTGTCCACAGCCCAGCCGATGCCCTGGACACCGCAGGTTCGGGCCGCCTGGCGCTTCCGTGAGCTCGGGGCTGGCGGAGGGGGCGTAGTCGGCAGCAGCAGGAACCCCCTGGCGCCTGCCCCTCACCCACTGCCCTCCCGCAGGTACCTGTACTTCACGAACATGCAGGACCGCGCGGCCAAGATCGAGCGCGCGGCCCTGGACGGCACGGAGCGCGAGGTCCTGTTCACCACGGGCCTCATCCGCCCCGTGGCCCTGGTGGTGGACAACACGCTGGGCAAGCTCTTCTGGGTGGACGCGGACCTGAAGCGCATCGAGAGCTGCGACCTGTCAGGTGCGTCCCCCCAGGGCCTCCTTCCCAGCGCCGTGTCCCTCGGCAGCCCACGGGCCTGCCCTTCCCCTGGACACCCGGCCTTCCGTCATCAGGAACGGTGGCGGCTGCCACGTTGTCCGGGACTTGCGCTGTGCTGGGGCTTTGTGTGTTTGGTGCACAGTCCCAACCTGAGAGCTCCAGGATGTGGGTTCCAGGTGAGCCCTACGCGGCAGAGGCAGGAGATGGGGCTCGGAGAGGGTGAGCCAGTTGCTCGGGGCCCGCAGCAGGGGACGGACGGAGCAGGGTTGCACCCTGGCCTCCGCCCCACCTGTGCTGGCACTGTGGGCTGCTCCACTGTGGGCCCCTTGGACCGAGAGGGGCTCAGGTCTCCTGGCTGTCCTTTGCAGCGGGCTGGGGGGTGCTGTGCTTGCAGAGACCAGTGACAATCCACAGTTGGGGCCGGTGGCCGTGATCCCGAGGCCAGCCCGGGCGGGAGTGGGGCTGTCTGCGGGCTTGTCCCGGATCTGCCTGCTTCCAGGGAGTCTGCCCGGCTCCCAGCCCTGGCCAGAGTGCAGGCTCCCCGGCGGCCCTCTCTTTCAACCTGTGTTCTCCCGGACCGAGCGCGGGGCGAGCCCTTGAGGTCAGCCACCACTCAGGGGGCTCCACCCGCTTGCAGGGGCCAACCGCCTGACGCTGGAGGACGCCAACATCGTGCAGCCCGTGGGCCTGACCGTGCTGGGCAAGCACCTCTACTGGATCGACCGCCAGCAGCAGATGATTGAGCGTGTGGAGAAGACCACCGGGGACAAGCGGACACGAGTGCAGGGCCGTGTGGCCCACCTCACGGGCATCCACGGCGTGGAGGAAGTCAGCCTGGAGGAGTTCTGTATGTGGGGGCCGGCAGCGGGTGGTGGAGTGGGCAGGGGTCCCTTTGGGGAGGGCAAATGTCTGCCCATAGCACAGTGACCCCTGAACCAGCCCCTTGGAGGAAGGCCAGGGTGCGAGCCCTCCTGACCTCAGCCAGGCGGTGGGCTCAGCTGGACCCTAGAGTTCAGAGGGTGCCCGGATGGCCCGAGGCATCCAGCGGTGGTCGTTTTCTTTTGCTGCAGAACAAATCACCAGGAACTTAGCACTTTAAGGCAACAGCCACTTGCTGTCCCGCAGCTCTGTGAGCCGGAAGTGCAGGCGCAGTGTGGCTCACCTGGGTTCTCTGCTCAGGTCCTCATGGGGCCAACGTCAAGGCATTGGCCGGGCCAGGCCCTCAGCTGCAGCTCTGGGCAGAAATCTGTTTCCACGCTCTTTCAGGGGGTTGCTGGTGGTGCACTGAGGCCTGTTTTCTTTCTGGCTGTGGGCCGGGGACCACTCTCAGCTCCTAGAGGCCACCCCAGGTCCCCGCCCGTGGCACCTGTATCAGCCCCTCTGACATCCCCTTCTCCTGTCAGGCGGGGAGCCCTCTCCCATTTGAACGGATCTGTTGAGACCCGGCCCACCTTCAGGGGGGTCTCTCCTTTGATGAACTCAAAGTCAACCTATTCGTGACCTTAATCACTAAAATCCACAAAATCCCTTTTGCCACGTGAGGTAGCACAGCCACAGGCCTGAGAGCTCTTCGCAGCTACGGGCTGGGGGTCAGGGTGGGAAATCTGGGGGGCATTTTAGGATTCTGCCTGCCGCTGCCTTGCTGCACCCCTGGGCTTGGGAGTGAGGGGCCTCTGCAGCTGGGACCTCTCGTTTCCTCCTCCCGCTCTGTAGAAGGCCAGCTGTGTGGGAAAGGGTGTGCACAAGCGTCTGTCTGTCTGTCCTCTTGCTTCCTCTCTCTCCATTCAGCGAATGCACTCGTGCTGCAAGCTGGGTGCTTGGCACTGGGCACAGAGCAGTGAGCAGGGCTGTCCCTGTCCTGTGCCGCCCGTGGTCTGGCCACGTGGCAGACACACCTCCAGTGGATGGGGGCTGGGGACAGTCCCCAGTCTCACCTCTGTCACCTCTCTCCGCTCCACTCCCTGCATGGTGTCTTGTCCGCCTCTGATCCTGTGGACTCTGGGGTCCGGTGGAGCTCTGTTCACTGCCTCCCCCTGGTCCCAGCCCCGCCCTCCCTCTAGGCCTCCCCCTGGCCTGGCTGCTTCCTCTCTTGTGCCCTCAGCTCTGTGCCATGCAGCTGGCAGGTGGTCTTGTCCAAAAGGCACCTGTTGCTAGGTTCCAGCTACCACCCGTCTCCACCCTGCTTGCCTGGAACGTACCAGGTGCCTCCGACTCAGGGCAGCCCCTTCAAGCTGTGGCCTTCCAGGCACTGGGGCTGCCCGCCTGCCTTGCCAGCCTCCCCTTGCTCCTTGCAGCCACGCTCATGGCCCTCTAGAGTCCTTCTCTCTGTCACCCTCCCCTCTGTCTCAGTAACTGCTCCTAATCCTCCCGCCTCACTCGGCTCGGCGCCCAGCTCTGCCCGTGGCTGGCACCGTGATTTGACCCTGTGGCATGACCTATGCGTAGCATGTTAGTACACTACACATGTTATTGCACAGTAATCCCATTTTACAGCTGAGAACAGCAAGGTGCAGAAAGGGCATTAACTTGTCGCCTGCCACCTGGCTCATAAGTAGGGAGAGGCTTGGGTTTATGGCCGGAGCCTGTGGTTTGGCTGTTGGACTCCCTGTGGCTTGTCTGCTGTGGGCTGGGCATGTTGGCATCCACAGTCAGCAGAGTTGAGTGTAAAATACGAGCACATCAGTCGGGGTGGGGTTGCAGGGCTCCCTGCTCTGCTGTCCTTGTGAGTTCTTGGCTAGGTCCTGGGGACGATAACTTCTGGACAGTCGAGGCACCTGGTGGATATAGGTTAGCACATCTGTGTTTTCCTGGTCCCTTATGCCATCCCCAGCACAGTCGCAGATGCTGGGTGTCGTGGGCCTTCAGCATTGCTGGCAGGTGGTCAGCGTGGTGAACACGGAGCCCACGAACATCTAAATCTGTTGCCTGTCGACAGAGCCAGGAGCACTGACCAGCTGCCCCTTAGAGCTGGGGGGATGGGGGACCCAGGACACGTTTGAGCAGGGATCAGGCTGGAAGCCAAGACATCCCCGTGGGTGCTCTTGCGAGACGTCTCGGGTGACATGGAGCCTCTCCTTGTTTTTGGTGAGGGCGAGAGAGGCTTAGATGAGTTCTCTGTTTACTTGGGGTGTGGGCCATTCAGCCTGCTTTCCCATGAGATCGCATAGCTAAACTCTAAACCAGAGCTGGGCACAGGGGCCAAATCCAGATTGTTGTCTGTGTTTGTAAGTACAGTTTTATTGGCACACAGCTGCACCTGTTCACTTCTGTACCATCCAAGGCTGCCTTTGTGCTACGACTGGCAGAATTGAGTAGTTGTGGGAGAGATGAGCCAGCCCACAAAATGAAAATTGTTAACTTTTTGGCTCTTCATAGAAGAAGTTTGCTGACCCTGGCTCTAAATCATGAGTTGCCATTTTTAACAAACACCTAATCCTTGAGGTTGAGGAGGGACGCTTTATATTTTTCTGGGTGGGGAAGGGAAGGGTGGGGAGTGTGGCGTGTTTTCTGCCATTTCTGCTAACCTGGGGGTGGTCAGCCTACCCTCCCAGCTGCCCCCTTCCTGCTGTTCAGGTCGTTGGGCACGTTTGGTTAACTGAGTTTCCCAGGACTTGGTCCTTTGCTGCTAAATTCCTGTGTGTATAGTGTCCCAGAGCTGCCGTGACCAATGACCACAAACTGAGTGACTTAAAGCAGCCGAAGTTTACTCTCCCAGTGTCCTGGAGGCCAGAAGTCCAAGATCAAGGTGTTGGCAGGGCCGTGCTGTGGGCTCCGGGGGAGGGCTGGTCCCTTGCCCCTTCCAGGACTGGCGGTTGCAGGTGTTTCCGTGGCTTGTGGCTGCATCACTCCCACCTCTGCCTCTGTCTTCATGTGGCCGTCTCCTCTGCCTGTGTCTTTATCTCTTCTGTCACCTCCTATAAAGACACTTGTCATTGTAATTAGGGCCCACCCACATAATCCAGGATGGACCTCATCTTGAGGTCCTTACCTTAATTCCATCTGCAAAGACCCTTTTTCCAAATAAGGTTACACTCACAGACTCCCTGGGTTAGGACATGGGCATCTCGTTTCGGGTGTGGAGGCACCACCCCCCCCCCATACCATGAGAGAGAGACAGATGGGCAGTGCAGGATGTGGGTTCCTTGGGGGCTGGTGCGGCTGGGCTGTGATGTTAGGCAAGTTCAATAACTGCTTCCAGCTGCCATTTTTGTGTCAGCTTCCATGTCACTAGAAACAGACTGTAGGCTGTCCATAGGATTAAGTGAGAGGATCACCCATAGGGGCCTGGCCTACAGGAGGGCCAGTTCTTGTGAATTCTCTCCTAGCCCCCATCTCTTCCACCTTCCAGACTGCAGTTCTGAGGTGGGAGGCAGAGCCTGACCTCCCCTGTCTTGTTTTGTCCCTGCAGCTGCCCACCCATGTGCCCGTGACAACGGCGGTTGCTCCCACATCTGTATCGCCAAGGGTGACGGGACACCTCGGTGCTCATGCCCAGTCCACCTCGTGCTCCTGCAGAACTTGCTGACCTGTGGTGGTAGGTGTGACCTTGGTGCTTTCTGTTGGGGTGACATTCAGGGACCTGATTCTCTGCCTGCTAGATTATTGCCTGGCATCCTTTTAAAAATCATATTCCCATGGCATCCAGTCTCCAAATCAGATTGTCTCTTCCTTTGCTCTGATTTCTTGTGTGATATATTATATAATGTATTATTCGGTACTATGAATTTTCCTCTAAGCACTGCTTTTCCTGCATCCCACGAATTTTGATAATTTGTATTTTCATTTTCAGATAATTCATACATTTTTATATTTCTCTTAAAATGACTTCTTTAGCCCATGTATTATGTAGAAGTGTTGTTAGTCTTCAAATAGGTGGGTATTTTCTAGCTATCTCTCTGTTACTGATTTCTGGTTTAATTCCACTGTGGTCTGAGAGCCTATTTTGTATGATTTCTATTACTTTGAATGTGTCAGGTGTGTTTTATGGCCCAGCATGTGGTCTATCTTGGTGAATGTTCCATGTGCACTTGAGAAGTGTGTGGATTCTGCTGTTGTTGGGTGGAATGTTCTGGAAATGTCAGTTAGATCCAGTTGATTGATAGCACTGATGAGGGCGTCTGTAGCTTTCCCGACTGCCTGCTCGAGCTGTCGGTGATTGATGGGGCCATGGAGTCTCCAAGTCCCATAGTGGATTTGTCTGTTTCTGCTTGTAGTTCTTTCTCCCTCTTCTCCCCTGACCCTCTTCTCCCCTAGGGCTTGGTGGTGGAGGTGGTGGGAGGGGGTGGTGAAGAATGTGGCCGTTGGCTTCAAAGAGACCTGGATTCAAATCCCAGCTCTGCCACTTCCCAGCTGAGCGACCTGGCTGTCACTGGCCCTCTTTCAGTCTCTGTTTTCTCCTCCATGAGACTGAGAGCACTTACCTAGCGGGTTGTGCTGAGCACCAAGCATCCAAGCACTTCCTCTGGTCCCCGACATGTGACGTGCAGGAATGCCAGGTGCTGCGTCACGGGGGTGCAGTTGTAATAAAAGTGACCATCTTGATCATCACCCTGGTGAAGCCCACCCCCCAGGGCTTCCTCTCTGCTGCTCCCGACAGCCTTGGACCGATCGTGTGGTTTCTGTGCTCGGCTCAGCTCCCCTTCCCCTCTGTGAGCCACTAGGGGGTCGGCGTCCTCCTTGTCCCCACCCCCATCCTACACACAGGGACGGCCGCACACCCGCACACACGGCTCGGCGTGTGGACACCCGTTCTTTCCAGCGGTTTGTTTTGCTCCTGAAGAGACTGGCCACTGCCCAGGAGCTCAGGGAGGGGAGACCCCAGGGACCATCCTTCCGGAGCTTTCTCTTGCCCTGCCTCCCACCACAGCCCGGCCTGGGGCCCCGAGGCCTGGAGGAAGGGGGACTTGCCAGGCTTCTCAGCAGTCAGGGCCGAGTTCCCTGCCCAGGCTCCTCTGCCGTGGGTGGGGTAGTGCCTGCTGCTGAGAGACCAGGTTCCCGGCCAGCCTCTTTCCCCTCTGCAGCGAAGCACAGACAGACAGGTGCGGGTCGTCCCGCAGAGGCCACCTGCCGCGCCCTGCCTTCGTTCCGCGCCAGGCGGGTGTCTCCGTGGCCAGGTGCTCCCCGGGCGGGACCGTGGGTGACGGTCTCCGTCCTCCCGCAGAGCCTCCCACCTGCTCCCCCGACCAGTTTGCGTGCGCCACGGGGGAGATCGACTGCATCCCCGGGGCCTGGCGCTGTGACGGCTTCCCCGAGTGCGACGACCAGAGCGACGAGGAGGGCTGCCCCGTGTGCTCGGTCGCCCAGTTCCCCTGCGCGCGGGGCCAGTGCGTGGACCTGCGCCTGCGCTGCGACGGCGAGGCTGACTGCCAGGACCGCTCCGACGAGGCCGACTGCGACGGTGAGGCCCTGCGCCGCCACGGCCCCTTGTCCTGCCCTCCCGGACGCGGCACCCGGGGCTCCGAAAGCCCTTCGCGTGGAGAGACCGCCCGGTCCTCCGCACCTTGCGAAGGAAAGAAGTTGGTTTTAGGCCCCAGGAGGAAAGACTCTGTGACGGGACCTCCGTCCGGCCCCGCCGGGTGGTTTGACCTGAAGGCAGGCAGAGCGGGGCCCTCGCCCTCCCGGATCCGCCGGAGAGTTTGCGGAAACCCAGGGCAAATCTGGGAGTGGGCCGGAGGTGCCGTGGCTCACATGCTGGTAAATCCCAGCCCAAGAGGGGCGTCGTCCTCTGCTGAGCCTTCTGCGGGGAGCACTCATCCCCGGGTGGTCTCTAGCAACCCGTCGAACCAGGAGTTACAGGGAGATCTGCCTCCGCATCCTGGGCCCACTCTGACCGGCAGGATCCGCCTTGAGATCTTGACAGTGAAACGTCTCTCTTCTGTGCCCGCTCTGAATTTTCCTTCTATAAACGACCTGCTTGGTTGGTTTCCAGGAAGTCATCCCAGGCGTAGCGAGGACAGGGCCCCCTTGTCTGTGGTTCCTGGGCCAGGACAGGAGGGGAGCTTAGACAGCAGGTTGGCTGGGACGGGCCACGGCAGCTGCCTTCCTCATGGAGCTGCGGCTCCTGCCCGGCCGGCGCTGGGAGGCGCAGGCAGCGGTCAGTGTGGTCCTCGCTCTCCTCCCTCTCCAGAGGCCGTGGCTGCCTCCCCTCTCCAAGCTCAGCTGGGGCCCTGCCACTGCCCCCACCACCCACTCTGGGAGCCGAGGCTCTTCCTGGCTGTTCCCCTCGTTGGCACTCACCCCGCCCCACCCCGTAACCTGGAGAGCCTTGGGCAGGACTGTCTGTCAGGCTTCGGGGCGTGTGGATCTGACCCAGGGTAGGCGCCTGACAGATACCTCCTGGGGGACGAGAGGCACACTGAGGTCTCGTCCCTCCCCTGGTGTGGCATAGGCCATGGGAGAGTGGAGGCGGGATCAGCCCTGACTGCCCCTGACCTGGTCCAGGAATGGGCCCAATCCACCTGCTCTTTGCTTGGAGCCCAGACCTGGGGTGTTGGGGCCCACGTGGTGGGGCGGGGGCACCCCAGCCTCTGAGTGCGCGGCCCCTCCTTGCAGCCATCTGCCTGCCCAACCAGTTCCGGTGCGCCAGCGGCCAGTGCGTGCTCATCAAGCAGCAGTGCGACTCCTTCCCCGACTGCATCGACGGCTCCGACGAGCTCATGTGCGGTGAGCCACGCGCCGGACCCCCCCCCACGCCGGAGATGGGGCCGGGGAGACGTTTGCCTTCCAGGCAGGGTCTCATGGGGGGCTGGGGCCGAGGGGAGGTTCCTTGGAGGAGGCAGTGGCCAGGAGGGGAGAGTGTGGTCTTGTGCTCTGTGGGCGTCCCCGGCTGGGCAGCGGGATTACTCTGAAGGCCATGGCGGTCCTGCTTCCCGGCAGCTTGTGCCTGAGGAGGGGCGATGTGCACGCATGTGGACACACACGTGCACTCATGCACACTGACATCCACACATACACAACATGTCCCACATCCCAATCTAGTGTCATAGCCTGCACATTCAGGGATAAAGGAGGTAGAGTATGGGAGGCCAGGGCAATCAGGGAAGGCTTCCTGGAGGTGGTAGCTCTTGAAAGGCTGTCTGATTCAGACAGGAAGGGAGCTGGAGTTCCAGATAGGAAACAGGAAGGAGTTGACGTGCCTGGGGACATGGCCACCGTGTCACTGCAGAGGGTCCTGGACTGAGAGCTCTTCTCCTGTGGCTGCCAGAGAGTGAGGAGTCTGGGGGTGGGGGAGTGGAGAGGAGGTTGCCCCCGGGACTCCCTGAACGCTTTGCACCTCATGCCAGCCCAGGTCAGGCACCATCTCAAGAGGGGCCTGGGGCCAGATGGCAGCAGTGGGGCCCACGGGGGTCCCCGAGCCTCTGCTGGGCAGGTTCCCAGGCTGACTGGGTCTGTGCCTGGGCCTCAGCAGGCCTGTGGGCCCCGAGTGTCGGGGGTGATACCCACCCACAGTCAGCCTTGTCAGCAGAGCCAGCAGGTGTCCTGCCCCCTCCTTCGGGGTTCTGGCCTGCGGGAGGGGCGTAGCTGACTGTGCTCATGGCCGCTGGGCCACCCGTGGGAAGGGGCGTGTGCCTTGTCAAAGTTGAGTCTGGAGCCTGGAAACCCGTCCCCAGAGGCCCCCGCCCCACCGTGTGGCCGGATGGCAGCTCCTCAAACCCAGGTCCGGGCTCCCTCGCTGCAGGACATGGGGCCGGTGGGGACACACTCACTTCCAGCCACCACCCAGGGCCCCTGGACAAAGGAGACTGGTTGAGGGGCAGAGGGGAGGCTGGGCAGGGGCCCGGAGGAGCAGGAGGAGGTGGTGGAGGAGGAGGAGGACGGTGCTCCCGCGAGGCTGTGGGCCCCGGGGTGGGCAAGGCTGCCCAGGCCCAGCCCCCGGCCTCTCCCTGGCCTCTGTCTGTGGGTGCTGGGCCCAGGCAGAGCAGCCCCCAGGGCACATAGTGTCTGCCCCCCAGGAGGGCCCATTCCTCTGGGGTTCACGTCGGCCACCCCCTCCCCCTCTGTGCCCGGCAGAAATCACCAAGCCGCCCTCGGACGACAGCCCTGGCCACAGCAGCGCCATCGGGCCGGTCATCGGCATCATCCTCTCCCTCTTCGTCATGGGCGGGGTCTACTTTGTCTGCCAGCGCGTGGTGTGCCAGCGCTACGCGGGGGCCAACGGGCCCTTCCCGCATGAGTACGTCAGCGGGACCCCCCATGTGCCCCTCAACTTCATAGCCGCGGGCGGCTCCCAGCACGGGCCCTTCCCAGGTGAGGAGCTCGAGGCGGAGGGCCTGCAGGGATGGGGCGTGGACGGGTGCCCAGGCCCCGTGTGCACGTGGCAGACCCCGCAGGGACGGGGCGTGGACGGGGTGCCCAGGCCCCGTGTGCACGTGGCAGACCCCGGGGACGGTCCCAGCACCGGCCTTGCCCCAGCTCGGAGGCCAGTGCTGCAGCCCGTGCTCCCGAGGTGCAGGGGTCCTTAGACCCGCCCTCGGTATTCCTGTGGGATGTGTCCTGAGTCACCCTCTAGTCCTCTCGTCCCCTGGAAATGACCATGGGGGCAGCTGGGCTCCCCATAGAGCAGTGGCAGCTCCCTGCAGCAGCAGCTCTGTCGTAAGCGCAGCCAGGAGCTGTGGCTGTGTGGTTACGGTTGCCATGTGGCCTGGGCCCCGGGCGCAGCAGGTCAGGCGTGTAGAGCCGGGGCCGCGCCTCGGGGCTGGACCTTGCTGGTTCGCATCACGTGGTGCCGGTGTGTCTGGGAAGGGGAGGTCGCTGAGAGCTCTGCAGGGGCCCCCACGGCTCCAAGGCCACCTTGGGCATTGCCCCGGGCCCCTCCCTGCCCCACCCTCACCCCAAGTCAGCCTCTCTGGGCCCCGATGTCCAGATGCAGATGTGGCCTGGTTCTCGTGGGGGGTGAGGTGTCATCATCAGGGTTTCTCAGGAGCTCCTGGAGGCCCAGGTGGTGGCACCGTCACCATCCCAGCTGCCCCAGAGGGCGGGGCCCATGTGTGCCTGGCAGGCTCTGAGCGCAGCCCTGCCGAGTTCCTTCCCACAGGCCCACGTGCCCCAGGGCAGGTGCTGGGCGTCTGCCCACGTGACGTGAGCCAGCTGGCGTGGCTGTGGCCAGCGAGGCCTGCGGGGGGTGCAGGGGCCGGGAGGAAGCAGTGTGTCTGTGGGCGGCCAGGCCGCTGAGCCACTGGTCCCCTCCCCCCAGGCATCTCGTGTGGGAAGTCCGTGATGAGCTCCGTGAGCCTGATGGGGGGCCGGGGCGGGGTGCCCCTCTACGACCGCAACCACGTCACCGGGGCCTCGTCCAGCAGCTCGTCCAGCACGAAGGCCACGCTGTACCCCCCGGTGAGTGGCGCGGGCAGGGAGGGCGGGTGGCCCAGCGGGCCGTCACCGTCACTGCTGGCCGGGGTTTCCAGAGCGGGTGACTAGAGCACGGTGCGGGAGCTTGCCTTCCTCCCTCTCCGGACCCCTTCGGTTTTTTCCTCGGTGACCTTGTTTTCCACTTAGAAGAGGGTAATCCTCGTTCGTGCGGGTGATCCGAAAGCGACAGGAAAAGATAAGGCTGAGTCTCACCCGCAGTCCGCCGGGCGGTCTCTGCTCTGCCGGCCCCTGCGGCTGTGCCTGTCGCCCTGCGCAGCTCTGCCGCGGCGCGCCCTGTTGTCTCGCCCAGGCTTTGCTGAGTCCCAGGAAATGGCTGGATTGTTTTCTGAAGGATGGACGCAGGTGCTGCTTGTGGGCAGCGGAGCGGGCGAGGGCTGACCCTAAAACGGCTGCAGCTCTGATGCCCTCCGGCTCTGGGAGGTCAGCCCGAGGCGCCGGGGCCAGCGCGTGTCAACACTGGGGTCTGACTTGACGCGCTTTGTTCACTTTTAATTCCCCCCCAAACCCCAGTCCTACAGCCGTGTGCCCTTCTAAGGTGAGGACAACCCCCTACGCTTCCCCTGGGGTCTCCCCCGTGAACCCGCCTCGCAGGGCTGGTCCTTCGTGCCCTTCTTTCTGGGTGTCCCCGACGTCTGGGGTGTTCCCTCCTCCGTAGGGCACCTGCCCCTGGCAGGCCTGGCAGGCAGGGGGCGTGCAGAAGAGGGAGAAGAGGGTTATCTGTGGTTTGCTGGGCAGGAACTGAGTTTCCTGGAGGCCCCAGGGCCTGGCTGTTTAGGGACAAAGCCTGGAGCCAGAGGTTAGAAAACTCACACCATTCTTCTCAGCACACCTAACCAGCTGAGCACCAGGACCCCGTAAGGCCAGGTTTGCTCCAGGAAGCAGCTCCCCTCGCCCTAGGGCATGCACCAGGAGGCTCGGGAGAGCGACTTCTCTGTGGGGAGCGGTGGGGGTCTCACGAGATAGTAAGAGAAGACACGGACCAGCCAGCTCTGTGTCTAGACGCTTGATGGTTTAACCGTAGCCCACTGGAGTGCACAACTCATGGGCTTTGGTGCATTCGCAGATATGTGCCACCCTCACCACGGGTAATTTTAGAATGTTTTTATCGTCCCTAAAAGAAACTGTGCATGGAGCCGGCTATTTTTAAATTAGCAAAGTAATACGTATTTGTGGCACAAAATTCAAAAGGCACCGGAGAGCGTGCAGTCGGAAGAGGCCCCACCCTCGCGCCAAGCAGGACCCCCGGAGGCGTGTCCCGTGGTGGGTTTCTCTGTCCTCCCAGGGGGTGATCCGGACCTACACAATACACAAGAGTGTGGACTTTATTTCCCCTGCAAACAGATAATGGTAGATTTTGCGCAGTAGATTTTGGACGGGTTTGTCTGCCGCCTGCCCGGTTTCCTCCAGTGGGAGCGTCTTGCCCAACTGCGCCAGCGCGGTGTCACCGCAGGACGCGGGGGTGATCCTTTGACCTTACTCATATGTTACTGGTTTTACATTTGTGCTTGTGAAATCCCAAAAGGGGGGAGCTCAAGGGACCACTCAGCCTTGCCCGTCGGTCAGGATACAGGAAAGCCGGCACTGACCGAGTGCCGCCGCGGTGCCCGGCAGCTGCACGTGCCCCTGCGTGGCACACGTCTCTAGGAGGAGCTGCTGTCACCCCTGGTTTGCAGCAAGGCGGGTGAGGAACCGAGTGGTAACTGCCGGCCCTGGGCATCCTGCCTGTAGGTGCTGGAGCACGGCCGTCCTACTCCCGACGGCCCCAGACACCCCACGTCCCCTGCACCCTCAGGTTGGATCTGCTTCAAGGCAGCACTGTCCCGTTCTTAGTGGCTGACCGGTGCCCTTTGTCGGGTGTGGCCGGGCCCATGCGGACGGTGTCAGGGTCCCCCCTGCAAGGCCGGGCCTCGGCCACTCTGACTGCTCTTGCCAAGTGGCCTCCGCAGAGGACAGTCCGTCTTCCCGCAGCAGAGGGCCACACGGCAAGCCTGTCCCTGCCAGACTTCTCTCCACCAGTCTAATGCAGGGAATCGTGTTGAAATCTTAAATGTTAATTAATTAATTATTAGAGACAGGCTGTTGCTGTCCCACCCAGGCTGGGGCGCAGTGCTGCGGTCACAGCTCATTGCAGCCTCCAACTCCTGGGTTCAAGGGATCCTCCCACCTGGGCCTCCCAAAGGGCTAGGACTACAGGTGTGAGCCGTGGAGCCTGGCCTGTATTTCTTTTATGGTGAATGGCATTGCACATCTTTTTTGTGTGTGTTTAAGAACATTTGTCATTTTATTTTGCTTAGAAGGGTCTGTGCATGTCCTTTTTACACTGGATTGTTGATACTTTCCCTACTCGTTGGTAAGATCTCTTTAGATGCAGAGATGCTAAGGAAATTGGCCCATTGCCTGGGATATGTGTTGAAGATGTTTGTTTCCCAGGGCTTTTGTCTTTTGATTTGGGTTATGGTATGTCTTGCCATTCATGCAATGAAATTGTTAATCTTTTATGATGCCTGATGTCCTTTTGGTCATGCTCAGAAAGGCCTTCTCTACTCTGATCATAAAAAAACTCCCTTCCACATTCTCTTTCTTAGTGTCCTTGTGCTTTTTGTTTTATGTTTAAATCCTTGAACCTCCTGGGATGCAGTGAGATGTACAGGCGTCCGCTTGTCTCTTTGCTGGTGGCTGCCAGGTGACTTGTACTGTGGGCTGCAGTCAGGAGACAGAGACCACGTGGTAATGGGAACACACGAAGTTCAATGAGTAGGCACGTTAACAGGGCTTGGAATTGACAGGGCATCGGCCAAGGAGAGGGAAAGAGAACTCTAAGGCTTCAGGAACGGTGGGTGGGCCGGGGTCGCGCCCCCAAGGGAGAGCCCCCTGGGCGGAGATCCAGCCCTTGTGGAACAGGCGTAGCTGTGGCTCACCAGCCGGCTGAGACGCCGTGCACTGCCTGGCTCTGGGAGGCACCTTCACATGGCAGATTCATCTACTTACTGTTGCAGTTTGGGGGCAAGTGGCAGTACAGTCCCTTGAGAAGGGGGTGCCTTTTTCTGGCAGTGGGGCTAGAGCCCCTCCGTCAGCGTGGTGAGCCCCGTGTGTGCGTCAGGGCTGAGCAGGGACACAGAGCCGCCTCCTGCGTGTTAGGAATAAGGACGCCATTACTGGGTTAGACTGTCTGGTGGTGGCAGGAGGTGTGGGAGTAAAAGTCAGAAGGAGAGTTAGCGGAGAAGTCCCCGGGGAGCCTGGCCAGGTGCTCCCTGGTGCAGGTGGGCACGCCGGGGCCGGGGCATCTCCTGCTGCAGCCGGTCAGGCTGGCTGTGACGGGGGCTGGCATAGGAGTCGGGGGACCTTCTCGAAGTGCTGCCTCCATGGGTGAGCGTCTGGGCGTGGGCCTGGGGTCACTGCTGGCCAGCAGGGCTGGTGGCTCTGGGAGGGTGAGGTCACCAGGGCCGAAAGTGCCCCTGTTCTCTGCCTCTCACTGCAGCGACCTCCAGGGCAGAGTGCTGCTGCCTCCCTCCTCGTGCAGGTCTCACCGCTCTGACCAGAACCGGGCCGGGAAAGGGCTCCTGGGAAGCGGGGGCAGCGTGGCCCAGCCAGGGCCCCTCCCTGTGAGGACAGCGCAGGGCGGGCTGGGGGAGGAGTCGCAGCGGGCGAGGCCCCAGTCACCCCTGCTTGGCTCTCCTCAGATCCTGAACCCGCCGCCGTCCCCCGCCACGGACCCCTCCCTGTACAACGTGGACATGTTCTACTCTTCAAACATTCCGGCCGCCGCCAGGCCGTACAGGTAGGGAGTCCCCGCCAGGGCCCTGCCGGTGCCGTGGCCACGTGGGCTCAGACCAGCCTGGGGGGGGGCCAGCCCACCTCTTGGTCTCCGAGGCACCTGCTGCCCTGGGAGGGGCACTTGTGGGCCAGGACACGGCTTTGAGCTGTGGGCCCCGAAGGTGCCACCAGGGGTGTTCCCACGCTGTTGTCCCACTGCAGGGGAGGCCGAGGACTTGGGCTCCAGCGTCCCTCTGTGCTCTTGCATCTGGCCGTGGCCCCTGGCCATCGACACCCCCTCTGGGTGCCTTAGTCCTCGTAGGATAGAATGTGAATGTGGGGGCTGGTGCGGCTCCCAGCCCGAGGGCGTGGCCGTTTCAGGATGATCCTGGCCCGGCCTGACACCAGTGCCCACGTTGGGGTCACAGGCCCCTCCTCCCTGGGATGTCAGGAAGTGGGGTCCAGGTCAGAGCCTGGGGTAGAGCTGGGTGATCCTCCTGACCTTCAACCCTGTGGTCTCAGCCAGCATGTCACATCCCCCAGCAGTACTGGGCCACCCCGCAGGGGCAGTGGTGGGTGGCTGGGTCCGCCAGCACTCTGGCACCCCTGGCCTGGGTCCGGGAGCCGCAGGGCCTTCTGAGCGTGGCACCGCCCGCCACCTAGTGGCAACTTCTGGGAACTGCGGCCTGGGCAGCGGCCAACCTCGGTTTCCAGCCCCTCCTATTGGGTCACCACCTGCTCAAGGACCTGCAGTGGCCCCCTAGTGCCTCAGCACCACATCCAGCCACTGCGGCCCACCTGGGGCTGTCACAGTCACAGCAGCCTCATCCGATACCGTCCCCAGAGCTGTCACATCCACACCAGGCAGGCCAGCCCCGCCTGTCCCTCCTTGTGCCTGTGCTCATGCCACCCTGCCCTGGGCCCCACCGCTGAGACGTCTTCCCTCCCCACGGTCTGACGTCTCAGCAGCTGGGGTCACCAGGTGTGGGCTCCACCTTCCCGCCCACTGTGAGCCCCATGTGCTGGGGCGGGACTGGTAAAACCCACCGCGATCCCAGCCTGGACGCGGGCTGTGCGGCTTGACTCGGGATCCTGGGCCGCAGCGGGGTGCTGGCAGCCCCTGGAAGACGGGCATTCCAGAATCAGGTCGCTTTAACCCTAGCTGGGACCATTCCAGGCCCGTCGGTCTCCAACGTTTACGGTGTGAGAGTATGGTCCATGGCTGCCTTCTAGGAGCACCTTCTAGGAAGAGTTGGGAACTGTTTCTAGCACTTTCCATGCAGAATCTCCTTTACTCCTCACAGGCCCCCTTTAAATGGGCACTGCTTCATGCCCCCTTTTTATCAGCGAGAAACTGAAGCTCAGAGAGGTCACGCACATTACTGCCCGCAGTCACCTAGGCAGGCTGCAGAGAGCAACCCGCCGGGGCCTGGGCATGGCAGCCCCAAGGTGGAGGTGCAGACACGCCCACGTTACAGGCAGGGATGTTGAGGCTCAGAGAGGGTGCATGACGAGCCCAGGCCACACAGCAGGTTGGGTCCCAGCTCAGGGCTTTCCCGTCCGTAGCTCCGGGCCCCTGCGCCCAGCAGAGCGGACGTGCACAGGGGCCCCTGAGCCCCGGCCCTACTCCTCGCCGCGTTTGTCTCTTGCAGGCCCTACATCGTCCGTGGCGTGGCTCCCCCGACCACGCCCTGCAGCACGGACGTGTGTGACAGTGACTACAGCGCCAGCCGCTGGAAGGCCAGCAAGTACTACCTGGATTTGAACTCGGACTCAGACCCCTACCCGCCCCCACCCACGCCCCACAGCCAGTACCTGTCGGCGGAGGACAGCTGCCCGCCCTCGCCCGCCACGGAGCGGAGCTATTTCCACCTCTTCCCGCCCCCTCCGTCCCCCTGCACGGACTCGTCCTGACCTTGGCCGGGCCACCCTGGCCTCTCTGCGCCCCTGTAAATAGTTTTAAATATGAACAAAGAAAAAAATATATTTTATGATTTAAGAAATAAATATAATTGGGATTTTAAAAACGCAAGAAATGTGAACAGTGATGGGGTGGGCAGGGCTGGGAAAACTTTGTACAGTGGAGAAATATTTATAAACTTAATTTTTTTAAAACCTAACTGCCATTCTTTTGTGCACTGTGTGCGTTCAAGTTGCGTGTCCCTGTGGAGCAAACGCTGACCCCGGGACTGAGGTCAGCGCCCTCAGCTTTTCCTGCGTGAGGGTCCCTCTGTCAGGTTCCCCCAGGGAAGGGCTGGGACCTCCGCAGGGGCTGGCATGCTCCTAGGAGGTGTCCTTGGCCCGGAAGACAGGCCAGGCTGCAGGGACGTGTGGATGGCTCTGCCGTTGCTGTCCTCAAAGTCTTAGCAACGTTGGAGAAAGGGTCCTGCATCTTCACCTTGTGCGGGGCCTGCAGATGATGTGCCTGGGCTTTGGGCTGTTCCCAGGCCAGTCCTGGCTGCCCTGTGACCGCTTGTGTGCCGGCCCAGGGCTGCTGCCCATCGCAAGAGCAGGGGCTGCCTCTGTGCCGACCCCCCTGGGTGGGCTGCTGAGCCCCCTGTGCTGAGCTGCACTTGCCCTGGGAGGAATGGACCCTGGGTCCTCGGTCCCGGTGGGGCAGTCGGCAGGCAAGGCCTGAGGCCTGCTGTGCCCCACCCCGGGTGGGCGGTGCTGCAGAAGACAGGCAGAGGCCCGGCCCCCAGGGCGTCCCTAGACTGTGGAAGGAGACAGGAGTCGAGTGCTGAGGACGCAGGGCTCCCGAAAGCCAGGCTAGCAGCTGCTGTCTTCAGAGGGCGGGGAGGAAATGCGCAGAGAGAGCATCAGCCTGGGAGGTTCTGAGCCCAGTGAGAATGTGGAGGCAGGTGAGCTCCTTGCTGAGTGCAACTCGACTTAAGGATGAAATTACAGGGCTGGACGCACCGGCTCAAGCCTAGATCCCAGCACTCTGGGAGGCTGAGGCAGGAGGATCGCTTGAGGCCAAGAATGAGCTGTGATGATGCCACTGGACTCCAGCCTGGCCGACAGAGCAAGAACCTGTCTCCAAAAAAAAAAAAAAAATTCAATGAGTTATGGGCACTGAAAAAAAAGAAAAAAAAAAAAAAGAAAGAAAAATACAAGCATCTGGAAGAAATGCTTCGAGTGCGCCTCCAGGCTTCCCAACGGGACTCCGAAAATGACCCAAGACCAGCAGGGGAGTCTTGTGCACAACCAACTGCTGGATGTCCTCCACAGTGGGAGGACCCCCGAAACACTCGGGGGACCCTGATGACCGCTCCACAGGGGACAGCCGAGGAATGTGTGACACACCCTCGGGAGTCGCCACCCCTGCCCCGACTGCCCAGGAGTCCCCTGAGGCGAGGGGTCAGCACTAGCAGCGATGGAGACGGCCGACTTGCCAGCACGGAGAGCAGACGACGGGTGGGGACCTACGCCCCGGGCCCTGTGCAGACAGGCGCTGCACCCACCCGGCCCATCTGGTGCCGAGCGGCCCTGGTGAGGATTCCGTGAACTAACGTCTCCAGTAGCAGGTCCTTGGCAATGGGAAGCTGTGACCTACTATCAAAGCTTGGAGAAGAGACAGACAAGGTCACACTGTTAAGACCAGCAGAGCCAGAGGGGCACCCAAGCGCCTAGGCCCCAAGACTGGGTCTCCTGCCACCTGCCGCAGAGCTGCCTGCGGGGCGCTGGACTCCCAAGCACTCAGGGTTCCTGATCTGCCAGATTGGGCCACACACCCCGAGGTGCTTGTGACGGCACAGGTGTCAACCTGGATAACCCAGTGGAGGCCAATTTTGACTCAGAAGCAGCAGCTGCATCATGAGGGGTCCCCCATGAGCGCCCCTACTCTGCCCAGCCAGACATCCCGTCCGACAGTGCCTGCCAGGGGTCAGGGAAGGAGTGGCCTGGGCTGCTGGCCCTGGCACCTGTGTGGGCCCGGGAAGGGCGGGTCACCCTCTGCATGAGTCGCCTCCCCCACCTTCCCTAGAGCCATGGCATGGCTAGGCGTGCCGTCCCGGTGTTCAGAGGCCTCTCTGCTGGACCCTTCCTGCCCACACCGTTGGCTAGGGGGAGTGAGGAGCCAAACTCTAGGCCGCCTACTACATGCCAAGTAAATCCATTAGCTTCCAGTAAGCACCTACTGCATGTAGAGCCTTGCACTTAAGCCACTTACACGCATGGAGACCCAGCATGTAAGTCAGGTGTGGCCCTTCCCTTGAACGCGCTCCAAATCCAGAGATGCGGGGCAGTTTCCAAAGCCACGGGGGAAGCCTAGGACTGAGAGGCCCTGGAGCCAGACAGGGCATCGTATTCAGATGGGAAGGCAGGGAGGGCTTCCTGGAGGAGGCCCTGTCTGAGCTGTGTCTTCAGTGAGGGGGTGAAATTAACCTGGCTTATTTAAACTTCACAACAGCCCAGCTAGGTAGATATATGTAGTTGAGGAAACTGAGGCTTGGATAAAAAGAAGTAAGGCCAGAATTGTTTTCATTCATTTAATCATTCCTTTATCCAATAAATGTTACTAACTGCCTACCAGGTGCTACTTGATGTGGCCAAAAGGGCTTCCATCTTCCCTGCAAACCCTCCCCCTCTGCAGTGACAGCCACTACTCCCCAAGTCTCTGTCACCCCATGTTTCCCTCACAGAGCCCTGTAATGGGCTCCCTCCCAGCCAACCCCAGCAGAAGGGGCCCTTTCCTCAGCTCAGCCACACCCTGCCCCTCCCAGGATGGGTGTGGGAGCTTCCTGCCTGCCCCGGCCACTGCCGCAGCACCTCTCCCTCCCTGCCTGTTGAACAAAGTCCACGTGGCCAGGTCTTGGGCATTTCCCCTGCCGGCCAGCCCACCGGGGACCTGGGTGTAGTTAATGTGGGAGGTCTTGTCCCTGAGAAATCTGGGTGGTCAGGAAATTGGGTGGGGCTTGGGTCCCACTCAGCCTCTGCAGGGTTCCTTCTCTTGGGTCATGTGGCTAGATCTTCACTGTACGGGGACCACCTCTTGGACCTGGCTCTCAGATCAGAGGCTGTGGCCCCACGAAGGAACCCCCTCCTCTTGGGGTCTTCTCTCAGATTCCCATACCTCTACCTCTTTCCCCTCCTGCTGATGGCCCAGCCTCCCTATGGGAAGGAGCCTGTCGGGGGACTCTGCGGGCTCCTTAGTCCAGCCCCTGGGCGTCCCTGCTGACCCTGTGCTACTGCCGCTGCTTGCCGCCCTTGCTTCAGCCTGTCCTTTCTAATGTGTGGGCCACCCTTCTCCTGCCTTGGCTCCCAGGTTCTGAGCACAGACCCCAAGTGTCCCTGCCTGCCTTCCACCTCTGCAATTCCCCCGTGGGCACCCTGACCCTGTCCTCGCCAAGTGCTCACTCCCCGGCACGCCCTCCCCCCTGCCCCAGCTACCTGCCTACGGGCCCCTCCCTAACCCTCTGCCCAAGCACCCCTGCTGGTTGCACCCTGGCCTGTGCTCCCCACTGGCCGTGTGGCCTTGGGCAAGGCTTCTCGCTTCTCTGAGCAGGTCAGTGTGAGCAACACCTGCCCTGGTTTGCCGCCTCCCTAGAGGCCGGGACCTTTCACAGCACGGGCACAGCTTGGCAGGTACAGTCGTCCCTCTGTATCCGTGGGAGATTGGCTGTAGGCCCCCCAGGATGCTCAAGTCCCTTATATAAAATGGTGTACACACCTGTAATCCTAGCACTCTGGGAGGCCGAGGCGTATGGGTCGTTTGAACTTAGGAGTTCAAGACCAGCCTGAGCAAGAGCGAGACCCCGTCTCTACTATAAATAGAAAGAAATTAATTGGCCAACTAAAAATATATAGAAAAAATTAGCCGGGCATGGTGGTGCATGCCTGTAGTCCCAGCTACTCGGGAGGCTGAGGCAGGAGGATCGCTTGAGCCCAGGAGTTTGAGGTTGCTGTGAGCGAGGCTGACGCCACAGCACTCTAGCCCGGCAACAGAGTGAGACTCTGTCTCAAATGAATGAATGAATGAATGAATGAATGAATAGCATAGTCCAGTCCTGTGCCACTTAATGCTGGGGATATGTTCCGAGAAAGGCATTGTTAGGCAATTTAACCGTTGTGTGAATAACCTAGAGTGCACTTACACCAGCCTAGATGGCAGAACATGCAGCACGTCACTACGGAATCCTGTAGGCACAGGCACACGGTGGCAGATAGTTGTGTATCTAAACACACCTCAGCAGAGACACAGTACAGGAAAAGTACGGTATAATCTTACAAGACCACTGTCACACATGGCTTCCATCACTGCTGAACCACCCTCACTCAGTGCATGACTATACGTGCATATACCCTACACACATCCTCCTGTATACTCTAAATCAGGCGTCCTCAAACTACAGCCCTCGGGCCACATGCGGGCCGCTGAGGACATTTATCCAGCCCTCCGGGGGTTTTTGCCGCAGCTGCCTGTCCTGCTCAGCAGCCGACTCACCCCGGGCCCGCCCACAGCGCGCACTCTCCAACGGTCTGAGGGACAGTGAACTGGCCCCCTGTTTAAAAAGTTTGAGGACCCCTGCTCTAAATCATCTCTAGGTTACTTATAATACCTAACACAGTGTAAATGCTATGTAAATAGTTGCTATACTGTATTAAACAACTGGCTGTTTTTATTGTATTGTTATTTATTTACTTATTTATTTTTGAGATGAGGGTCTTACTGAACTGGTCTCGAACTCCTGGCCTCAAGTGATCCTCTCACCTCAGCCTCCTGAGTAGCTGGGATAACAGGCGTGTGCCACCATGCCAGGTGTATTGTTTTTATTTTTTTGTCAAGTATTTTTGATCTGGGGTTGGTTGAATCCCTGGATATGGAACCTGCAGATACAGAGGGTCAAACTGGGGTGGGGAACCTGGGGCCTTAAGGCCATCTGTGACCTTCTAGGTCCGTGAGTGAGTGTGGCCTTTTGACAGAATCCCAACTTTATAGAACAAATCCTTTTATTAAAAGGGGTGCAAGCAGAGAAAGATGGAGCTTTTCTTGCCTTCTCTGGTGCTTACAAAAGAACAATCTTGAAGTGAGGAGGCCGCAGGTCCCCCACCCCTAAGTGGGGGTGATGCTGCTGTTCTGGAACTAAGGGCAACGCATTCCTTCTAGAGAATC